CTGGGCACTATCCTGGTGCTCCTGCCATCTCCGGGAGAGCAGAGAGCTCTGCCAGGAGGATTCCTTAGCCCAAATCTCTCCCAGAAAAGACAAGGAGCATTGGGAAGCTGTGGGATATAAACACCTCAGATTGGGATCAGCTGGCAGCGAGGAGTAGGGATGAGGGAGCGGGAAGAGAGGGAATATGAGATATTCCCCGTGGCCACCCTGGCTTGTGTCTCTCCAGCCACTCCATCTCCAGCATTCCACATAATCCATGATTCTTGTCCCAGTGCTTTGTCCTTTTAATATTTCTCCCCCTGGGAGAGGAGCAGGAATAAATTCCTTGGATGCAGAGCACAGCTCCGGTGCTGGATGGGGGATATCCCAACTCCGTGCCGGAGCATCCCAGCTCACCCTCCGGATCCCCGATGGCTTCAGGCTGTGTTTGGAAGTTCTGACATTCCCAAATTTGCCTTTCTGGGAGCCCCTGCTCCTTGGCCCAGGGACACCCTGGAAATGGAAAACTTGCTTCCAGCAGCTCCAAAGGGCTGGATAAAACAACAGGGGGATGTGGAGAGGGCAAAGAGCACCGGCCACGCTGGGAATGTTGCTCCAGGCCTCTGGAAAAGGTGGCACCGGGCAGCTGTGCCACATGGCGGCTGCTCCCTCCGGAATTAAAACACATGGACAATACTGGGATAATTATTCCTGAGGGAGAGCCCTGGCTGGGGGTCTGCTGCACTCCCCGCTTCCCGCTGCTGAATTCCCAGCCTTCTATGCAGATCCACTATGGATCAGCTGCTCCGCTCCCACACGGGCCAGCGAGCTTGTCCGGCATTTATCCACCGGGATAATTCAGCCGAGGATGAGCATCCCCTCGGAGCGCCTCTGCCCTTCCCGAGCCTCCCGGGGGCCACAGCGCTCTCCCGGGATTTCAGGCGAGCCGGGATGATCCCGCTCGGCCACCGGACCGGTTTTCCCGGCGTTGTGTTTGCCCAGAGAAGGCAAACACGGCCCCGCGGCGCCGCTTCCGGAGCTTTCGGGAACACGGCGCCGTGGGAGCAGCTGCCGGCTCATTAACGCCTTCATTAGCCACGACAAGCTCTGGGTCACCTCCCGCTCCTGCCCGAGTTCGGGAATATTTCACTTCCTCACCCCCTGTGATTGCTCCCGTCAGGCTCCGAGAGTGTCCTCGTTTTCCACGGAATTACCCCGGGCTCGGCCTCAGCCCGGAGGTTAATTTGGATAAACGGCTCCAGCACGGGGAAAAAAACAGGAAGGGAAAGGTTCTCCCTGTTGGGTGGGCAGGGAGAAGAGGGAACATCCATGTTCTCCCCAAAATAAAAGGGAAAAACAGGAGAAAGGAGTGGAAAACTTTTCAGAACAGCCAAAGCATCCAGGGGTTGAAAATTCCAACTTGGCAGAGGAATGTGCCTTTTCCAGGGAGTCCTGAGTGGTCATATCCTGGAAAAACAATTTTGGGATGAGCTGGCGGAGCTCTGGGATGTGGGAGTGAGGAGCTGTGGATTCCCAAGCCATGCTTGGAAGCTGGAGCTGTTCTCCACAGCTCCAGGGTCGAGCTTTGGGGAGCAGGGAGGAGCATCCCAGTCTTGGGAGACACCCTGGAGACAAGGGAGCATCTTCCTGCCCGGTGGCCGGGGCAGAAGGAACACACTGGAGTGGGATTTGGGGTGCCCAGGGATTTGGGAATGTAGGGACTCCAGGTATCCAGGCCTTTAGGATAGCAGGGATTCAGGGAGCCCAGAGTTCGGGGGACCCAGGGATTTGGGAATGCAGGGGTCCAGTTGCTCAGGGGATTGAGATGACAGGGGTTGGAATGCCCGGGAATTTGGGATACCCAGAAGGTTGAGATGGCAAGGGTTCTGTCACCAGGGATTGGAGCTACCCAGGGATTTAGGATGGCAGTGGTCCTGTTACCCAGGGATTTGGGTGTTCCAGTTGCTCTGGGATTTGGGATACAGAGGCCCAACTGCCCGGGGATTTGGGGTACCTGGAGTTTGGAATGGCAGGCATTTGGTTGTCCAGGGATTGGAGCTACCCAGGGATTTTGGATGGCAGTGGTCTCATTATCCAGGGATTTGGAGTACCCAGGAATTTGGGATGGCAGGGGTTCCAGTTACCCAGGGATTTTGGATGGCATGGGGTTCCAGTTGCCCAGGGATTCCAAACCCAGAGGTTGGAATGGCAGGGGTTGGCTTATCAAAGGTTTGGAGGCACCCAGGGATTTCACATGACAGTGGTCCTTTTATCCAGGGATTTGGGGCATCAGGGGATTTGGGATACCCCAGTTGCTCAGGCATTTGGGATACAGAAGTCCAGTTACCCAGGGATTTGGGGCACCCAGAGGTTGGGATGGCAAGGGTTCAGTTACCCAGGGATTTGGGATACAGAGGCCCGGGGATTCCAAACCCAGGAGGTTGGTTATCCAGGGATTTAGGATGGCAGTGGTCCTGTTACCCAGGGCTTTGTGGTACCCAGAAATTTGGGATGGCAGAGGTTTGGTTACCAGGGATTTGGGATACCCAGGGATTTGGGGTACCCAGAAATTCGGGATGGCAGGGCTCACATTACCCAGGGATTTGCGGACCCGTCCGGGTCTGCTCGGACCCGTTTTGGTCCCAGTTCCTCCCTCCCGGCGGGCAGGGCAAAGTCTCCGGAGCGGGGCCGGTGCCGGAGGCTCCCGCGTGGCCCTTCCCGAGGCGCCAGGCCCGTGAGTCAGCAGCGCTTCCCACCCACTTGGCCCCGCTGGAAGTGCCGGCGGGAGCGGCTGTGTGGGAGCGGGAGGTTACGGAGCTGCCGGGATGTCTGTGCGTGCGGGGACGGGAATGTTGGAGCTGGAGCGTGTGGGAAGCGAGCGGAGAGAGGCGGAGTGAAAGCCAGGGCCGGTGCCAAGGGCTTAATGAGCAGCTTCCCACAAAAAAAAAAAACATTCCCGAAGCAAAATAAAGCTCCGTGGCCGCGGGAGGAGGCTCTGCCGGCCCCGGAGCAGGGAGGGTGAGCTCCTTCCCGGCCCGTCCGGAGCCTCGGGAAGGTTGGGAGCTGCCTGGCACCGGCCCCCTCGCTGGAAGAGCTTCGCCCGGGTGGACGTGCCGGAGTTTTCCTGGCACGTGGCTCCCGGAGAGCGGCACCAGCCGGCACACGTGGGCACCGGCATTCCTGGCCAGCTTTCCAAACCGGGATGTGGCTGGCACACATGGAGAGGCCCCCATTCCCAGGAGAGTGCCACCAGCATGGGCCACGAGGAGGGGCAGGAGAGAGGATCCCTGATCCCCTGGTGCCGGCACCCCCAGCCTGGGGATTCCACGGCACTGGGAACTGCCACCAGTGCCCCCAGTTCAGCCCCATCCCTCAATCCAGTCACTGCCAGTCCAGGGGTTTTACAAGCAGATATTTCCTGCCTCGTTCCCTGCTCCAAACCCAGCCTAGGGACAAGGAAAATTGAGATTTAATCCCTGCAGGATCTTTCAAACCGTGGCAGTGTTGGTTTCTTGGATTTTTCCTGTATGACTCCAGAGAGATTCCATCCCGATCCCCATCCCGATAGTTTGGGTTGGAAGGGACCTTTAAAGGTCAACTGGTCCCAGTTCCATTCCACAAGGCCAGGCTGGGGTCTGCCTCTGGAGGTTCCCACTAATCCTGGACCAGCTAGGAGTGTTCCAGTCCCATCACCCCGTCCTGGGATGTGTCTCTGATCCCTTCTCCCCATCCTGGGATCGTCTCTGATCCCATCACCCCATCCTGGGATCGTCTTTGATCCCATCACCCCATCCTGGAATGGTCTCTGATCCCATCACCCCATCCTGGGATGGTCTCTGATCCCTTAACCCGTCCTGGGATGGTCTCTGATCCCATCACCCTGTCCTGGGATGGTCTCTGATCCCTTAACCCGTCCTGGGATGGTCTCTGATCCCATCACCCTGTCCTGGGATGGTCTCTGATCCCTTAACCCGTCCTGGGATGGTCTCTGATCCCATCACCCTGTCCTGGGATGGTCTCTGATCCCTTCACCCCATCCTGGGATGGTCTCTGATCCCACCACCCACCCTGGGGTGTGTCTCTGCCCCCTTCACCCCATCACGAGGCAGGAGCAGGCACAACTCCCAATCCCAGGAGCAAACCCCGCAGTCTCCATCCTCCCCCGCTGCTCCATCACCTCCATGCGGGGGCACCTCCAGGCCCAGGTCACGGAACCTCCTCCTCGCCCGCGCTCCCTCTCGCCCTGCGATGGGAGCAGCAGGAATTCGGCAGGAATCGCCTTTCCGCGGCGGGGGGACACACACACACCGCGGGCCGGCGCTCCCGCTCCGCGCGCTCCGCTCCGCGTTTTCCGCCGCCCGCCGCGCCCGCCGCGCGCGCAGTTCCCGGGCAGCTCCCGCCGCGCCCCGGCCCCGGGAAAACCCGGACCGGATCCCGACGGAGCGCGGCAGCGGCGAGGGCCGCGCGCGGCCCCACGCGTGTCCGCGGGGTCCCCGCCGCGCTCGGCCTTCCCCGGGAATTCCACCTTTTCCCCCCCCGCGCGCGCGCGTCCGCCCGTCCGTCCGTCCGCGCCCCGCGCGCCCGGCGCCTCCTCCACGCGGGGGGAGCGCCCGCGCCCCTCCCGCACCCCCCCGACCCCCCCGCACCCCGTGCGGTGCCACCGCGGCCACCCCACGCGTGTCCCCCCTCAAGGCGCGCAGCCCCCCTCCCTCCCCTCCCTCCTCCCTTTTCCCGGCGGCTGCAGTTTCCAATCCCGCCAGCAGCGAGCAGCAAGTGGATGCAGGACCGCGCCGCACACGCACCCGCACACACACACACACACACACACGCACACGCACCCGCACCCCCGCACACGCACCCGCACACGCGCGCACCCCGCAGCAGCGGGCGGCCAGCACGGGCTCCGCGGGGCTCCCGGCCCCGCCGCCGCCGCATGCGGGGCCCCGCCGCCCCGCCGCCGCCCCCCGCCCCGCCGCCCCCTCCCGCCACCGCCACCGCCACCGCCCCCGCCGCCGTCTGATGAGCCGCGGCCCCGCCGCACCGGGCAGCCGCCGCCCCGCCGCCCCGCCGCGCCCCGCCGCCGCCCGCCACCATGTACCTGCACCCGGAGGCTGCCGGCGCAGGTGAGCCCCGGGGGGAACCGGGAATGGGGGGACGGGGACGCGCAGGACGCGGGGGACACGCGGCGGGGGGGGGGGACGGACGCGGTGGCCGCTGCCCCGGTGCCCCCCCCGCCTCCGGGGCGCCTCGCCGTGAGTTCGGTAGTTTGGGGAGAAAGTCGTTGTCGCCGGCGTGGTCGCCCTGCGGAGGGGCCGGAGCCACCGACATCCCCCGCCCGGCGACATCGCGACCCCCCCCGGGGGGTCGCCGGCCCCCCGAAAAATCCGGGGTGAGCCTTCAGCCCCGCTGGGTGCCGGCACCCAGATAGCATCCAGGCATCGGCTCATCCCTCCGATCCTCGTCCTGCAGAGCTGCCGAAGCCCTGGAAACCACCTCTGAACGCCCCCCACCCCCCGGGGGCTGCCCCCCCTCCCCTGCCCCCCGGGTGAGCCCCGAATCCCGCCGGGTGCCGACATCCAGACAAACACCCAGGGATCAGCTCATCCCTCTGCTCCTCATCCTGCAGAGCTGCTGGAGCCCCGGATACCCCTCACCGGGGACCCCCCAACACCCGGGGACAGCACCCCACTCCCCAGACCCCCAACAAACCCCCCAGCCCCCGGGTGAGCCCCAAATCTCGCCGGGTGCCGGCATCCAGGGATCAGCACATCCCCTCCGTCCTTCTTGGGGTCCCCCATCCCCGTCCTGCTGCGCCTCTGGAATGACACCGGGACACGCGGGGGTGGGCGGCTGGGGAAGGGGCTTCCTCCGGCGCGGATTTGCTGAGCTCATGCTCCGAAGGCACCGGGCGGCCCCGCACCGGGAAATCTGGGACGCCGGCGGGGAGGTTTTGGGGGTGTGGAGGCACAGGGATGCTGCCGGAGCGCTGCGGATCCCCGGGGCCTGGCAGCCGTCCCCGGCCGTGTCCCGGGGCCCGGGGAGCGGGCAGAAGGACGGCGTGTCCTGCGGTGGCGGGGCCGCGGGGACGGCGGGGACGGCGGGCGCGAGCTGCAGGTGCCAGGCCTGCGGGAGCCGCCGGCTCGGGATAGCGCCGGGCACCGTCCCCCGCGGCGGGCGACAGCGGCACCGCCGCCCGGCACTCGGCGGCTCCGGCCGGGCTGCCTTCGAGGGCAACTTCCCGCCCGGCCGCGGGCTCAGCGCTCCCGGCGGGAGCGGCTCCGGCCGCGTGACCCCGCAGGGATGCCCGGAGCGCGGCACGGCTCGGCTCGGCCCAAGGTCACCCGGCGGGTCGGTGGCAGAGAGGGGCCGCCGGGCTGTCCCCGCCGGCGGCGCCGCTCTTCCCTGCCCGTGCCCGGCGTTTGCTCCCGGTTATTCCCCCTCCGAACTTCGCACCTGCCCCCGGTTTGTCCCCCTCGTCCCTGCCCCGCGTCCCCATCGGTGGCCAGCGGGACACCGACGGCTGCCCGTGCCACTGCTGACACTTCTTGGCAGCCTGGAAGCTTCAGAGGCTGAGCTTTGAGCTGCGGGATTCGGGGGGACGGATCCACGTCCCCTCTCCCCAAATCCCGTGCTCCCTGGCTGCTGGGGCTCCCGTCACGTGGGAGTTTTCCCACGTCACCGGCGGCGGTGGCTGTGCCGTGGCGCCTGGAGCCGTGGGGGGCTCTGGTGGGGCTGGGGGTGCACACGCCTGTGCCAGCACCCGACCCCCTTTCCCGGCTTTTCCCGGGTGTTGTCGCCCGTGTCCGCAGTGCCCGGGAGGTTCCGGGTCTGACCCCCACCAGTGGAGGCTGGGAGGGTGCCTGTGGCTCACACCCCCGCGGGATTTGGGATTTGCCACATCCCGCCTGTTGTCCCCCCAAATCGCTGCCCGAGGTGGCACCAGCCTCGTCCTCCTCGTCCCCTGCTCCGTGTGACCGTGAGGGGACGGTGGCTGTGACCCCCAGCGCTGGCTGCGTTCATGGCGGGGGGAGAAGACGCAATGTGGGGAAATTCGGGAAACTTTGGTGCCCAGGAAGAGGGGGGGGGATGGGGGGAACATGAAGCTCGGAGGTGCTGCTGGGGGTCTCTGGGTTTTGGGTCGGAGATGCCCGAGGGAGTCTGGGCTGGGCTGGTGAGGGGTGTTGGGAATTAGGACCGAACCGAGGCGCTTCCCAAAGCGGCTCCCGCCAGCTGGGGAGATTTTCTGGGAGGCCACGGAGGGCTGTGGTGCTGGGGGACAGTTCCCCGTGTCGGGAGCGCCGTGCCCGAGAGACTGGGGCTGCCACAAAGGTGCCCTCTGTGCCACAGGGACAATGTGCCCCTCGCCGCCCACGCCGGCTTTGGGAACACCGGGAAGCTCCTTCCCCTCCCCTGCAAGGACAGACCCCCCGTCCATCCCTGTCCCCGCTGCTGGCACCAGCTGTCCCCTTGGAGGGGGACAGGCTGCACCTCAAACGCTCCAAGCAGGTGCCGGGGGGCCCTGCTCCCGCTGTCCCCATCCTTCCCGGCTGGAATGATTCCGAGCAGAGCCGCGCGGCGGCTGGAGGTGGTGAATCAATAACCAGGCAGCTGCCTGTTTTCCCCCCGCGCCGTCTCGGGGGATGGATGGATGGGTGGATGGATGGATGGGTGGATGGAGTGATGGATGGAGAGCACTGCGTGCTCGTACGGCTCTGGGATCACATCCCCGATGCCCGGGGCTGGGATAAGAGCCGGCTTCCAAACTGGAACACCCCGAGGTGGGAGGCTGGGAGGATGATGAGGAAGCGTGACAGGCGGGAAGGCAGACAAAGAGCGGAGGGCCGGCCCTGCCGGGAGCCAGGCACCTGCTGCAGCCACGCGTCCCGGCACGGGCACGGCGCTGGAGCTCCAGTTCCTCCCCCGGAGCCCCATCCTGCTGGGATTTGGGCTTCACCTCCCTGCCAGCCCCTCTGCTCCAGCAGCTGGGAGCATTCCCCGCGGCCTCATCCCCTCCCTTTGTTCCCCCCGGCAGCTCCATCCCGTTTTCCGTGGCAGTGGGGTTCCATGCAGATTCTGAGCCCCCCAGGGCAGCTCAGAATTCCTTCCTTCCCACCAATTCCAAGCTTTTCATCCTCCCCGCACCCGTAGGATCCCACACACTGACGTGTCCCAGGACCCCGTGCACGGCTTGGGAACAACAAGGACTGGGGGTGGGTCACGGCCGGGCTGGGAGGTCTCACCGATCCCCCCTCCCCGATTCCAAGGAGCAGGAGAGGAGCTGGAGGCGGCTTTTCCAGCGCCTGATCTCGCGGCTTTTCCGCCTGCCTGGGAAGGGAGGGGGGAGCGGGGAATGAAGACAGATGCAGATAATATCGCTGCCACCCCCCGGCCCCCGGGGGCTCGGCTACGATATCCATTATACATGGATTCGGGGAGGGAAGGGCTCCCGCAGAGCCGCCGGAGCGCGGGAATAACGAGCAGAGCGACAGCGTGGAGAGGGGGGATGGACCCCCCCCGGTGCCATTGGGGGGCTCGGGGGGGTGCGTGGGGCCAGCTCGGGCCTGGGGGGCAGGGGGCTGGGAGGTCCCGGGGGAAGGTCCCGCATCCCTGGGGTGCCAGCCTGGCCGTGGCACAGGGATGCTCCGAGCCCACCCGGGAGCTCAGGGGGCCCTCCCGGCACCCCGACCCTTCCCGGTGTTCCCGGCTGCGGGAGGGAGGGAGAGGGTCACCTTGGGGGGAGTTAATGAGGTTTGAAGGGAAACGGCCGGTTGTGCCGGCGGATGCGGAGCCGGCGCGGTGGCCGAGGGATGGCACGGAACAGCTTCCCAGATCCCGGCCTTCCGAGGGGGGCACGGCGTCAGAATGCACCCTGGGGGGCCCTGGGTATCCATGGAAAGAGGTGTGACCCCTCTGGATGGGCCTGTGGGACACTGGTGGCTGCAGGGGGTGATGTGTCCTGTCCCCTCTCCCCATGGATGACCATCCCCTCTCCCCATGGATGACCATCCCTGCTTCCCATGGATGACCATCCCCTCTCCCCATGGATGACCATCCCTGCTTCCCATGGATGACCATCCCCTCTCCCCAAGGATGACCATCCCTGCTCCCCACGGACGACCATCCCCGTGTATTCCTGGAGGATACAGGCCCGGGATCAGGCTCTGCTGGAGGTTTTCCACTAGCCCCACCTGGATGACTCTCCTTCCTCCCCATGGATGACCATCCCTGTGTATCCCTGGAGGATGCAGCCCTGGGATCAGGCTCTGCTGGAGGTTTTCCACCAGCTCCACCTCCCCCAGGCACCTTCCCACCCCTGTGTCCCCAGTCCTCCCTCTGGAGCCTTCCTCAGCCCTTCGTTCCCTTCCTCTTCCTCCTCTCTCCTCCCTCTGAGCTGCGCTTCTCCATCTTTCCACATGTTCCCTTCCAACCTTCCTCTTCCTCCCCCAGCACTGCCAGTTCCCTGATTTGGGGGCTGTGGCATCCCCCCATCCCTGAGCTCCCTGCGGGAATTCTGTCCCCACGGTCCCAGATGGATCCCACGTGACATAACTGGGGGGCACTTCCCGGGGGGGGAACTGGAGCTGGGAAGCAGGCAGGGATCCGGTGGGATTGGGATGGGCTGCACGGAGGCTGCTCTCTCCTGTCCCCCGGGAGCCTCTGGCTCTCTGCCTTCCCTCTCTCCCGCTGTCACCCGAAGGGCTCGGGAATGATGGAGAGCCCAGGGGCGGGAGGCTAAGTGGTGACGGCGCGGAGCTGGCAGTGCCACTCGGGATGAGAGCCCAGCCTGCTCCTCCGTGCCCGCTGCCGGAGCCAGGACACGATTCTGTGCCTGGAAAAGCGGAGCTGGAGGCGCATCCAGCCCCAGATTCCTGGGGGCTCCATGGCTCATCTGGGGGCAGGGATTACACGGAGCACCGGCCTCTCCGAGGGAAGAGCGGCATCCTGCTGGGAGCAGGGATTGGAATGGGGAAGGCGGTGGCTGGAAATCATGGGAGCAGAGGGAGTTTGGGTGTCGGGGTGCTCCTCGGGAAGAGGGACACGGTGGGGACCGAGAGGCAGAGAAACCACACGGCTCTCTCCGGAAATCCTCAGCCAAAAATAGCCCAGCACCGGGAAAGGAGCA